GGCTAAATCTCAGAAGTGGTGTATATATGTTTACCAATAGATCCATGGATAAGAAAAATGTAGTATTTACACACAATGGAGTAATATTTTGTTATAAAGAAATATAAGCTTGAGTTAGTTGTAGGAAAATGGATGCATCTGGAGATGATAATTTTAAGTAAAACAAATCAGACTCATAAACTTACATATTGCATGGTTTATTTTATATGAGAAATCCCAAATTTAAAAATAACAAATTAAAAGATAGGTAATAGGAAAAGAGAGACAGATCTTTTGCAAAAGAAAAAGGGATTGAGAGATGGAGAGAGAAGTGAGGGAGTGGAAGGAAAAAGAAGAAAAAAGAAGGAAGATCTGTTATGATGATATATCAACTCCCCAATAGAAATTAATCATTACATACTGCAAGCAAGTACTAATTAAAAAAAGAAAATTTTTAAAAAGAAAAAGAAATTAAAATGTAAAGATAAAATCATATACAGACTACATCTATTTTAAGAAGGCAAACATACTATGCATTGCTTGAGGATGTAGAGAAATTGAAACTCATAAACTACTAGTGTGAATTAAAAACTAATAAATTACTAGTATGAATTAAAACATACATGCTGGAGACTAATGTGCAAGATTCTTACAAAGTTAAAAATTTTAATAAGTATAATAAGTATAATTAAGCAATTATACTCCTAAGACTCTACCTAAGGATAATGAAAATGTGTTTCCACCCAAAGACTCTATAAATGCTCACAAAATTGTTTTTTCTTAAAGAAGCCTAGAAATAATCCCAATTATCAATTTGATAACAGACAAAAAATGTAGTCATTAATGTTATATCTCTCATTAACTTAAAAAATTAAAATCACTATTTAAGTAAAATAGAGATTATTTATGGTCATTTAAATTAATGCTGAAAAAATATAAATAAACAAACACCCATTGCTCATAATAATGCCCACCAATGTGTATAAAACAAAATTTCTTCAAATTAATAACAATGAGAAGAAAAAAAGTATATTATATGTTGAAAGATTAAATATTTTCCAAGATGGAGAAGAACTGAAGGAGATAAAAATAAATATTTGCATGCTAGCATGTATTAGAGGTGCTACCCATTGCAATAAGGCAAGAAAAAGATATAAAAGCTATTCAGATATGAAAGAAAAGGCAAACTGCTTTATTTCCAGAAGATATTATCCATATAGAAATTGTGATAGAATCAACTAAAAATGGGCTGGGGATTTAGCTCAGTGGTTTGGTGGCCTACCTTGCGCTTGCAAGGACCCCAGTTCAATCCCCGGTACCAAAAAAAAAAAAAAAAAAAAAAAAAAAAAAAAAAAGAAAAGTAAACTCAAAATATAAAAAAACTGTAAATCAAAGCAAACAAAAGAAATATTATTTTACCATTATCAAAGCATCAAAATGTAAAATATATAGGGGAGAAGTTGACCAAAAAAATGCAAGACATGTACAATAAAGACTATGAAATATTGCTCAAATAAATTTAATATTAAGAAAAACTAAAGAGAAATATCATATCTATGCAACAAAAGACCCATAGTTAAAATGTCAACTCCTTAAATTCTTCTATGAATTCAGTACAATTTCATTCTAAATTCTAGCATGTGCTTCTGTGTTAATTCACAATCATACTCTTTAGAGTCTTCCTACATTAATGAAAAAATTTGAATATCCAAAATAAATTTGAAAATTAAGAACAAATGCTATCTGACTACAAGACTTATTCAAAACTATATTAATTATAAAGGTGGTGCTGGCACAAAAATAAGTAGATTAATAGTATTTTTCAAAAATCAACAAACAAACTAAAACTAAAAATTTCTTTTAGCTCAGGAATTCCCCTTCTAGGTTTCTGCTCCAAACCATTAAATACATCATATATATCCATGTTTACAAGTGATACAGATATACCCATGTTTATAGCAGCATGAAGTCTTGGAAGAAGACTATATATTCATCAGCAGATAAATGGATAAATAAAATGTGGTATATACACAGGAAAAAAAGATAAATTTGAGTCATTTGTAGGAGAATGGATGCAACTTGAGATCATAATTTTAAATTTAAAAATTAGACATAAGACTTAAATATCACATGGTTTCTCTTACATGAGAACCCCAAAGCATAAATAAAGAGAAAAATGAAAGACAGATAACAGGAAGTAGGGACACAGATCTTTCTCAAAAGGAAAGGGGATCAAGAGATCAAGGCAGAGGGCAAAGAGCAGATCAAAAAAGAATGAAAAAGAGAATTAAGATGTGTTATTTACACATACCAACTCCACAGAAGGAATGTAAACATTATACTTTGCAAACATGTACCCCAAAAAGGAAGAGGATCAAGATAGAGGATAGAAGGAACAGGGAAGAAAAGGAAAGAGGATAAGAAAAGGAATTAAGATATTTTATGTACATGTACCAATTCCCCACAAAGAATGAAAAAATTATGTTCCACAAACATGTACTTAAACCCCCCCCACACACACACACAAAACAAATAGGATCAAAGGATGGATGGAAGGAGGAGGGAAGAAAGAGATAGAGGATAAAAAAGAAATTAAAATGTTTAATGTGCATGGACCAAATTCCCACAAGGAATGTAAACATTACATACTACACACATGTACTAATAAACTAAAATAATTTGTTTTGGGGGTACTGTGGATCGAACTCGGGACTTTGTGATTGCAAGGCAGGCGGTGGAACCACTGAGCTAAATCCCTGGCTCAAATTAACATAATTTTTAAAATATGGAGACAAATAGAAATTGGAGGAAGAGAGGAGGAAAGGATGAAAAAAGAATTAAGATGCATAATGTACATGTAACAACTCTCCATGATAAATATAATCATGTGTTACAATATGTACTAATACAAATTTTAAAATGTTTTAAAACACTGCAAAAACAACTATTGATGGTGTCATGGGTTGTGTCTAGATTTCACCCCAAAGCTTCATGCTTCATAGGTGGGGCTTTTTCAGAGGTGGTTGGATCAAGAGTGTGTGTTGCTGGGATTGATTCATGGTGCAGTGCTAGGATCAAGGGCACTAGGATTATGGGTGTGAGTGATACCCCCAACAAGTAGCTTGGATAAGTCATAAGGGATATAAACAGAACTGAAAGACAATCTACAATGTGGGAAAAAATTTTTACTAGCTGCTCTCAGACAAAGGATTCTTATCTAGAATATATAAAGAACTCAAAACAATCAGCCTCCCAAATATAAAGACCCCGATTCAAAAATGGGCATCTGAAATGAACAGACATTCTCAGACAAAGTAAAAGCAGCAGGTAAATCTATGAAAAAATATTCCATATCACTGGTCATTCAAAAGATGCAGATGAAAACAACACTGAGATTCCACCTCACCCCACAAAGAATGGCTGCTATCAAGAAATCACACAATAACAAATGTTGGCAGGGTTTTGGGGAGAAAGGAACTCTTCTCTATTGTTGGTGGGAGTGCAGACTGGTGCAACCACTATTGAAATCAATATGGAGATACCTCAAAGAGCTGGGACTGGAGGTTTCATTTAACCCAGGTATCCCTCTGCTGGGTATCGTTTCAAAAGAATTAAAAGAATCATATCATAGTGATATATGCACACCTATGTTTATAGCGGCACAGTTTGTAATAGCTAAAACTTGGAAACAGCACATTTGCCCATCAGTTGGAGACTGGATAAAGATGTAGTTTTTCTATAAAATGGAATACTAGTCAGCCACGAAGAATGAGAAATTAGAATCATTCATAGGAAAATGGATACATATTGAGGATACACTAGTAAGTGAAGTAAATAAGTCACACATGTGTAAATACTGAATAGTTTCTTTGGAGTGAAAAACTATAATAGTAGAGCCGGGCATGGTAGCGCATGCCTGTAATCCCAGCACTCAGGAGGCTGAGGCAGGAGTATCGCTGTGAGTTCAAGAACAGCCTGGGCTACATAGTGAGTTCCAGGTCAGTATCAACTACATAGTGAGACTTTGTCTCAAAAAACAAAACAAAACAAAAACTATAATAGCACATAAGATCCTAATGATATAACTGACAATGTGAAATAGGAAGAAAAGGAATAAAGGTGTAGGGAAAGTGGGAAGGGTAGGGGAAAGGTAATAAGGGAAAAGAAAAAAATATGAGAAAATGAAAAAATGGAAATAAAGTATTTGTAAATGGGGAGGGTAAGAGGGGGTGAAGGGAGGGCAAGGACAAGGGGGGGAAATAAGAACCAAGACCTGTCATGTAAAGATACAAGATCTCAATGGTGAATATAACTGTACTGTATACCTAAAATGTACCAACAAATTCAATGATAGAAAAAAAAAAACATAAGGGATAGGAAGAGTCCTGGTGCTCTCCTGTGTGCGCTCCTACTTTCTGTCTGCTACGCACTTTTTCTCCTCTGCCATGCCACCCTGCCCTCGTGCCAGCTGAGTAGAGACTGAGACTTCTACAAACGGTGAGCTAAATAAACCTTTCCTCTGTTAACTTTGGGTGTCAGGTATTTTGTCTCAGCAATGAGAAAAGTAACTAAGACAGATGGTGTTTAGAAATGCTAAATAATTTTAACTCTCACACACTGTTAGTAGGAATGCAAATCAGAACAACCATTTACAAACAGTTTGGCTGTTGTGTGAGCTAAATATATATCTATCATAAGATAGGTACCAAACAAAAGCTATCCTGGCACACAATTAGAGCTGTTTTTGGTAATAACCAAAACTGCATCTGCAAAAAATCTCACCAAAAAAACTATTTGTTTAAAAATTAATTATAATTTTTAAAATTGTATTAAAATTACCTGTCTACTCAAGGTCATTATTTTGTTTCATGTTTAGAATAATTTATATTGCTATTTTACTGTTAGGAAAAAAGGCACCAAATACATTTAAAAGAATATAAAACTATAGTTATTCAAGATGATTTTTAGTATCTGAAACTAATAATACAAACTATTTAATATTAAAATACGCAAATACTTACAATAACATGTTCCTCTAAGTGGATTACCAACATAGCGATTTTCAGAGTCACATCTATGAAAACACAAAAACTTATTTACTATCAAATAATGTAATGTAATTCAAAGCCTCATTTTATGCAAAAAATATTTAAACTCTACATTAAACATATAGTATAAATTTTATCAGTAAATGAAATTTCACAAATTAAGTCTTCAAAAGAATCAATTTTAGAAAACCTATAAAGAAAGCACAACTGAAAGAAAAATACAAAGATAAACATCTAAGAGAAATATGAGACATCAAAAGAATGGATAAGATTATGCACTTTGGGATATATATCAATTCTTAATAATATGAGAAGAAAGTAAATTTATGGATAAAGCAGGTAGAAGAAAAAAATTGAAGGAATTCATAAATCCACATTTTCTTACTGGTGGTATTCTTTGAAATTGATCTATAGTTCCTCAGTTTCCACAACAATGAATCTATATTTTTTAAAAAGTCTCCTTAGTTGTGCTAAAACAATTTTCATTAAGTCAGCCAACCCAGACAAACTAGACAATATGAACTAAATTCAGGAGCTCTAACTTTTAATTCATGGAAGCAGATTATTAAAAATATAAAAGATCATTCATATTCATAAGCTCAATGTTAAATGCATCAAAATATGGTTCAATATAGCAGTAAAAGAAAAACTAGAGTTTTTCAAAATTTTTTAAATTATATTTTTCACTACCTATTTTCAGAATAAAACCAAAATAATGACTGCTGGTAACAGATATACATTGGTTTTATATAATGCTATTTCTTGGAGGGCTTCCAAAGCAAACTTTATACAATATATATGTAAGAGGATACCAATGCAGTGACTTATTACTCAAATTAAATAGTTTAAAGTTTAAGAGAACTTCTGAAATGTTTGGCTTTAGTAGACCTCAGTACAAAAATATTATAATACACAAATATTTTAATGAAGAATCAAATAGTGAAAATGAAAAGCTAAAGATTCATAATACATTTTCAATGCATTTAACTATGTGCTTGCTAGTTTTTATATTTTTACAAAAATAATAAGTAAATTTTTCTATACTAACTACAAAAATATAATATGTGGAAACAGCACCTCAATGTTTTTTAGTTATTTTAAATAAAGCAACGATGGGTATAAAATAAGTAAAAACTTTGGTTTTTAAATAAAAAAAATTTACATAGAGGCCCATTCCTACATTATCCAGAATGTGACACTGGAAAAATTACCTTTACAAATCCCAATTTTCTTTCTCAGTAAAATGGGTATAGTGACACTATCCATATCACAGAATTATAATAAGAGCTAAATAAAAGTGCTCAGTTCAAAGGCAGGCATTCACTAAATCTCAATATTGGTTTGCTATGATGATACTAATGATGACTACGGTGGAAAAGGAACAACATTAATAAAGCTAAAGGTAGGATATCCTATTTGCATCTACCAAATATCAAAGTAACACAAAAAAGAAAATAATTTAGAAAAATATTATACCAAAATATTGTCAAAAATGTATTCATCACTGTTCCAAAATATAACAGTGCAAATCTATACCGCAGTCACCAGCCTAAGCCACCAGAATGAATCAAACTGACAAGTAATATATAACAGTTATTATTTTATACCAAGTAAGCATTTTAAATAACTTGATAAAACTGATACACATATACCAGAAAATCTTTCTACATTAAAATGTTGAAGCTTACTTTATTTCTTCACAGAGTTAAATTTGGAACATACTAGGAAGCTATGTATTTCATCTCCTGATATTTCAAGGTAACTTTTAGTTACAAATATTAACAAAAATAAATGCTTGCCGTGTATCCCCCTTCTTTGGCATAGTGTCTGTTCCTCTTGTAATTGTTTCTGTCTTTTAATTAGTATATCTCAATTTTAAATTGATATTCTATTCTTTATTATGTAATTGTTGTGCTCCACCTCCTCCTCATTTTTTTTTTTTTTTTTTTTTTTTGCTAACACGCCCAACAATTCTATATGTCTTAGAGCCTGTTCAGACCACATAGAGTTAGGACCACACAACTTTATTATGCTTGCAGCCAATGTAATGATTCAGTTGTGATCATGAACTATGCTAAATTCCTAAAAACAGTCTTTAATGAAAGTAATTCTTGTACAAGGCCTGGGAGGTTTACAAAAGTTTTTAGACATAAATGGGAGTCAAACAGTAAATTAACCCAAAACACCAGATTAACAGTTCGCTTATTTAGCCAGTAGTCTTGCTTAATGAACAAGATTATTATTTAAGATTATTCAAATGACAACACAGTAACTAAAAATACCAACCTAGTATTATTGATGTAGGACGGTACTATATCATACCTCTATGAATGTAAAATATCTAGTACCTGCTTTATGATACATAGTAGGGGCCATGCTTTGATCAGAGCTACATTTAATGATATTACTCTAGATTGTTTTCTTTCCAGATGATGATTAAGAGGCTAATAGAAAAAATGGTGCCAGGTATCACAGCAGCAACAGAACTTGGCTGTTGTCTGGATATTATTCTTTTTTTGTTTTTGTTTTTGTTTTAATGGAATGTGCTGAATGTCTATAATTTTGTTCAGATGATTGCAGAACCTGGAAAAGCTGTTGCTGCTATCGATGCATAACATACTATTATTAGTCTTTATATATATATAGATATACACACACACACACACACACACACACACACACACACATATATAAATTGAATTTTGGGAAACTTTAACGGCGTTGGCAACTTTGGAAAAAGTCATCCCAATTTACTGTGTTGACTTGGCATTGCATAGAAATGGACAACCATATTGGTCTAGAAATGTTAATGTATTTTATTTTATTTTTTTTCCCTGTGTACAGGGGTAACACATCGTACTAAATATGTAAGGTCATATCTACGTGGGTTTGATTACAGAAACTAATAAAGTATTCTCTAAATAATGAAAAAAGAATAAGAAAAGACTATAAGTGTGAGAAGCAATTTAAATATGTTCAGGGACCATTTTCATCTCCAGAATTAAGGATTATTTTGATGTTACATCATTGCCTTTTCTCTTTTACTTTCCTTTTTAGTTTTATTTTAGGATTCCCTATTTTTAATGTTCATACAGAGATTTCTTTAACTGAAATACCGAATAGTTTCTTTGGTGTGAAAAACTACAATAGTACACAGGAAGGAGGGGGTGAAGGGAGGGCAGGGACAAGGGGAAAAATGAGAATCAAGACCTATTATGTAAAGGTACAGAATCCCAATGATGAATGTAACTGTATTTGTATACCTAGATTGTACCAATAACCTCAATAAAAAAAAAAAGCTAGGAAATAGAAATTATTCATGAAAGAGTTTACTACCTCTTGAAACAACCTTAAAATTTCAAAAATGTACACAATAAAAGTATTTTATTAAGTTTATTGCTACAATTATAAATCACTTTCATCATACAAATTTTATCTGTACATGATATATCTCGATCCTTATTTTTCCCATTCCCTGCCTTTCCCCTTAACACTCTTCTCTTACTTGTATACAAAAGCTTGGTTTTATTTTATCTTTCTTTTCCCTTCCTTTCATTTCCCCTCCCCCTTCGGTGCCCCTCCCCATTTTAATAATTTCTTCCTATTTCACAATTTCTATTACATATTTTGGACCTCATTTAGATTTTCAGTTGCTTGTACAACAGAAATAATGCAATATTTGCATATGAGTGTTTAATTTATTTCATTTAAGAAAATGGTGTCAAGGTGCTTTCATTTACGCATAAAGTCTCAAGTTTATCTCTCTTTATGGTTGATCAGCACTCCATTGCATAAAAAAACCACACCACATCATTTCTATCTATTCATCAGTTGATGGGTAATTGGGCTGATTCCAAGTTCGGGCTATAACAAAGCTTGCCACTATAAACATGGGTGTGCATATATTGCTGTGGTATGGTGCTTTTAAGCCTTTCTAAAAGATACCAAGAAGGGGATAGCTGGAACAAATGGAACTTCTAGTTTTAGTTTTTTGAGGAATCTCCACAAATAATTTCCACAGTGATTGCACCAGTCTGCACTCCCACCAAAGTGGAGAAGGGTTCCTTTTCCTCTTAGCCCTGTCATCATCTCTTATTGGTTGATTTCTTGAGAACAGCCATTAGTTCTGGAGTGTTGTTTCAATCTGCATGTTTCTGATGACAAATATATTGCTATATATATTTACTTGCTATTTATATTTCTTCATCTGAAAAAATGTCTTTTCATTTCAGATGTCTATTTTGGATTGGGTCTTTAAATTTGGGGAGGTCTGATTTTTTTTTTAGTTCAATATATATTTTAGATATTAGTCCTTTGTCTGAAGAACTGCTGTCAAAAATTTTTCCCCATACCCGTCTCTTCACCTTTTTGGTGGTTTCTTTTGCTGTTTAAAAGCTTTTTAGTAAGATGAATCCTGGTTGTTGTTCTTTTTTCATATTTCTTGTACAAAAAAATTTTTGTTCATGAAGTCTTTGCCTACACCAGTGTCTTCAAGAGTCAAACCTATTCTCTTTCAGCAGATTTAGTGTGTTTGTTTTAATATGTAAATTTTTGATCCATTTCAATTTTAGTTCAGTGCCTGGTGAAAGACATGGATCAAGTTTTAATCTTTTACATTTGGAAAGCCAGCTTTTCCAACACCACTTATTAAAGAGGCCATCTTTCTTCCATTGAAGGTTTTTGGGCCCTGTGTCAAAGATAAGGTAGCTGAGTGTTTCTGCATCTTCTAATCAGTCTAATCAATTCCACTGATCCTCGGGTCTGGTTTTTTAGGTTGTTTTGTTTTGTTTTTGTTGTGGGGGTGTTACCAGTACTGTGTTGTTTTTATCACAATACCTCTGTAGTATAATTTCAAGTCAGGGATTGTGATTCCTCTTGCCTTGTTTTTGTCCCTCAGAACCGCTTTTGCTATTCTAGGTCTCTTCTGGTTCCAAATGAATTTTAGGAGTGTTTCTCTAGTTCTGGGAGATACGTTAGTGGTATTTTGGCTAGAATTGCATTAAATCTGTATAACAATTTTGGAAGT